GGGGGGGGAGAGAGAGAGAGCCATAAGCTGCAAAGAAACTGGACCTACCAACAGCAGCAGAAAAAATCCCTGTCACTACAGCTGTCTTTATTTAGGTCTCAGCAATAAACACCAATTTAGCCTTCTGCCTAAACATTTACAAAAACCCTTTTTTTTGGTGTAGGAATTCTTAACATTGAGATTCTGTGACACCGCTTACAGTGAGTTGAGTGAAAAAAAAAATCAGTTATGCTGAAGTGGAAGATTACACAACTCAGAATTGGATGTCTCCGATACCAAGAGTTTGCATATGCACACAAGCCTGTCGATGCCAGTGATTCCAATTGGGATTTGCCAGTTTTTTACTCTCACAACTGTGGATTCTCCAGCAACTCTACTGAGTCTGAAATACGGCAGTACCAGAGAAGAGACTAACAATAAAAATCTTTGTACATTTTAATATTTATTAATTCTCTATTCATTTTTTGCTATATATTTAACACTAGTGTGACAAAACTCCTGATAATTATATCTCATGCAGGCAACTTAAATGAGGAGTTAGCACTATCTAAACTGGTAAACCTACCACTAGAGGGGTTACTTTTCAGTCTACAAGACAAGTATTTCTGCAACAATGACAACTAGGTGGGTACGCATAGAACATAACAGGCTCAGCGGAATGCACTTGGCAGGTATCTAAATGACAGCACAGCCTTCAGAAGGACTGGAGTGGCAACATCCTTTGACCTAAATAGACTTGACGTTATTGTTTAAGAGGGCTTATGTGGAGTTGGAGGCATGCTGGAAACTGTTGTTCAGAGAGATGGTGTTTCAGTAGTTAGTCAAATAATTTAGCTTTTGCCAGTTAAAGTTGCTGTGATTTGTGTTCTTTCTTTGACAGGGTAAAATGTGTTACTTACTCTACCCATATTGCTATTGTTTAGGTCACAACATAGATATTGAGAGCATACTGTACCTTTCTGCAGCTGAAGCCAAAGACTGCTGATAGATTGCTGCTATTCCTTCTCTGCAATTCCTTGGTGAGTAGATTTTCATCAATACCAACTATGAAAACAAACTCCTTAGAGTCCAGATTTTTTTTAAAATATATTACAGGAGAAGTGTACTTGTAAATCACTTATTCTTTTCTCCTACAATACCCACAGGTTTCAAAACAATATAATTATGAGTGAAATTATTAAAAGAATAACAAGCGTTGTGATAGTCTTTTGTTGTACTGGGCATTTCCCTTTTTTAACTAGCATACATTCTAACAGAAATCCCACAGTACAAACCAGATAACTTCAATTAAAAAACAATATGCAAACTATTCAGTCCAATGTTATAGCATGTGTATGTGTGTATAATACTGTAAGAGTAGTCACACATTAGAGGTATATAATTGAAACAGCATTTTCCTTCACGAACCTGCTATTACTGAGGCAGTGACAAGGTTTCCATTTCTTTGTTTTATGAGCTCTTTAAAGAATGGCTATCGCCATGTTTTGTAAACCTAAATACTGTACAAGCAGAAGCTTGTTGGTATCAGGTAAGCAGTAATACTACTAGTGCAAACAGGTGCAGAGACAATTCCTCCAGTTTCAGGGTGAACCAGCTATATAACACTGAAAGAGGACAGGCATCTTCTTCAAACCCACACTCATGCAATGTTTTTCCACTCAGACATACATCCTTCTCCTTCTTGGTCTTCTTTTTACACGGGTAGTTGGGGGAGAACCACCAGCTCATGTGATATTTATCATACAAAATATTTCTTGACTGTTTTCCTATTAATATTATGAATGTTTTTTAACAAGTCAAGGAATGATAAATACCTCAAGCATCAGGAAAGTGACAATAATACTGACTTAGTATCTTTAACAAAAAGTGAAACATTCTCTCCTGAGATATAAGTCGAGGAAGAAACAGAAATGATGAACCTAACACTGTACCATTATTTGATCATCATGCACCTCAGCTGACCAGATGAGAAAGAACAAGTGTTTATTGCCCTCTGCTCATCCAAAGCTATGACAGGCAGTTTATTTAGGTAAGTGCTTGGCATACCAGAATGTTGTCAAAGCAGTTCTCACTGTACTGTCCCCCCTTTAGCTTATTTCTTTAAGAGAAAAAAAAAAAAAAGAAAGGGAAAAAAAAAAAAAGACAATCTCAGCAGGTTAACCCTCATCTTCTCTCAGCTCTGTAGGTAGAAATTTGTATTGCTGTTGACGGATCTGGGCCAGTTTTTTCCTTGCCTCTTCCAACTCTCTTTCCTTCTTCAGCATTTCTTCTTGGGCTGCAATGATCTAGGAAAACAGAAGCATGAATTATGACAGCACGGAATACTCTCTGTAAAACAAGATTTCTTTCTCTATGACACCATTCACAGCTAGATCTTGAGCATTCTCCAGAGAAGCACCAAATTTCAA